CCATATGATTCTTCAATCCTAATCACTCAAAAGTGGTAACTTACCAAGTTGTTGGATACTGTCTGAGCAAATCAAATAATTTCATAATATAATAGAAGGAAATGAAAGAGGCTTCCAAACTACTTTGATTCCAAAGAATCACAATCCCACTCCCCACGGATCGATTGCTTCCAGCACTCCAGAAGAAATCACTGCTGTATTCGTATTCAGTCATTACTTTTCACAATACTAACTGGAAAAGAAACATTACTAATGTGTTTTCCCTGTCTTTTTATATTGAAATTTTATGCTTTTCGTTCTATAAAACATTACAAGCCTAACTCAAAATCCTACGCGCTTTCAGTCTCTTGCTGATCAATGAGTCCTTCTGTACTCTCGTCATTGAATCTTGGAGAGACGTGGGTTCTCTTGTCAGGATACAACACATAATGTTGACACATGAATAGAATGTCAAAGAATATGGACACCTGTAAAATGTAATGCATCAAGCGACAAAGATAATATACTGCAATCATGTTGTTCGTATCTTCAAGGTAAGAAACGGATTATTAAAATACTAAAACCTCGGAATGACCAATGCTTATTTCGCTCTTATAATGCACTCTCTCTTGACAGCAACAATGATGTCTACTTTCAATGATATTTCTTTCACTCTAATTGATATGAAATGAAACAAAAAAAGTTTTTTGTACTCTAACAAAATTCATTTTATTTTTATGCCAAACAGTGTCTAATCATCCTGCACTTCATTCCACTCCTACTAATCAAAAAGAGCAACCTTGCTTACGTCAATGAGCACTAACCAGCAAAAGAAGAACTGGTATGGCAAGGTTAAGAGCACATAAATAGAAAATGAAGCAGATACCTACTAGAATTCTTCAATCCTAATCAGTAGTCACTCATAAGCCAAAACTAGCAAACTGTTGGATACTGCCTGATCAAATCAAAATAATTATTATATAATACATCAAAGAAATGAGACAGAGGCTTTGAAATCACCTCGATTCAAAAGAATCACAGTTCCACTTTCTATACACTGATTGCTTCCGGCACTCCAGAAGAATTCATTGTGTTCTTATTCAATCTTTTCTTGCATGCAATATGCAAATTTGAAAATGAAACAGTGCTACTTATGTTTCCTATATTTATATACTGATGCTTTATATTGTTCATCACCTTAAACATTAAACTTCTAACTGAATCCAACATAATTTGGAGAGGCATGTGTTTTCTTGCCATGGAACAATGCAATTTTGACTTTTGGAAATAATGTCAAAGAATTATGCATATCTGCAAGATGTATTAGCATGATACATCAAAGCTAATATACTTCAGTATGTAGTTCATTCAAGGGCTTAGATTAATAAGAAATGGATATTAAACCCAGAAGTTGCTTAGAGATGAATATGCTAATTTCCCCATGGTCGTAACAGGTTTTGGTAATCAAAGCACCCAATGAATTATCTGCAAATTTCAGAGTGCAGCTTTTCTCATTCAGGTGGCAGGGGCAAGGACTTTAATTACATCCTTAATGAGGAGTTTGGTCCAGTCTAAACAGTCTGGACTGGGCTTAGTATCTGTTCAAGCCAACTTTTTTCTCCTGCAGAATAAGAAGCCTTGGGACTCCACCAGAATCTGGCTCATCAGCAAGTCTAAATTAAGCCCTGAACTCATCAGGTTCAAATATAATCTAGTCAGAGGCAATTTTCACTTTTCTTTCATTTTCTATGGTTGAAGTTGAATATTTTGCATTTCAGGATGGCGAAGTTATTTCCTCCAAGGCAAATGTAATTTAAGGAATTCTAGATTTTAGCAGAAACTTAGAAGAGACACAATTTTCATTTATGGGAAAGAATAAGTAATTCACCAAAGAAGCATGGTTCTAGTTTGATATTTATTTTTTCTTAAGAATGTGATCCCAAGTTGAACCAGTGAGCAGTTAGTGAAAATGAATAACTTAGACAAGTAGGTAAGTTAGAACTGCATACCAAAGAAAGCAATGTCTTCCCAATGTTCCCATAGAAGTTCACCCAAGAATCTGGAAAGGCAACAATAGAATTAACATCAACTTGATGCTATAAATTTGAAATGGCAAAAAAATTTTGCCTAGGAAGAGATAACGTACTTTGATCAATGGACTGCACTGTCATCTGAGCATAATTCGCCATACCCCCGATAAAATCAAGCAAAATATTCTCAATGCTGAATCCATCTGTACTCTTTCGCGTGAAGTTCATTATTGCCTGTATTTTGTACCTTTTGTTTGTTAGAAATCACATGGAAATCAAGAAACTAACAAGAGCAATGATATCCATGTGTATTCACCAAACTCAAAAACCAATGTCAGATTTCCAGAACAAAAGAAAATTAATCTCATAAAACTCAATATAGAAGTGGAAAAAAAGATTTTGATACAAGTGAATGAAGACACAATGAACATATTGTTCAATGTATTTAAGTGCATTTGCCAGGCGTCTTCAAGTCCTTCTGGCAGTTTAAACGGGCCTATTCACATAACTACTCTATGACTAAAAAGAATTAACAATACAAAAGCATGCTTTTCCTGTAAATTCTGTATTAAGTAATCCAAAAAGTCCATACTCAGCAGCTTATAATACAAGGAGAAACAATGTTAACCTGGGGGATATACTTTATGAGAGTCATGAAAACCTGAATTGAGCTGCAGAAATATTTAAGAAACAAACAATTAGAAACGAATGTACAATATAAAAGGAAGTGGAAGACCATATGAAGTAGTTAAAAAAAGTTCTCACTCTGAGCATCTAGAAGCTAAACACAGCATTCTTAAGCTCTATGTTATGCGAGATCAAAAGAGAATCATTCTCAACATAAACATATTTATAACTCCAGTGCTTCTACATTTATGCATTACAAATTCTTTCCCATGCTTATATTTCTATGCAAATAACCAGCAGTTAGTTTGTGTATGCTATTGCTGTTATTCACAGAGAACACCAGAAGAAAAACTTACTTGAAAATTGAGATGAGCCACAGCCAAGAATGACTAGGCAAAGCCACAAAGAAACAAACTCCGGCAGTAAACCACACAACAGAAATAATTGCACAAGAAATCTTGGATATCTTCTGACTTCCACGCTGCAAATTGTCATAAACAGCCGTCAAATTGCTTGTACAGCATATTTAAACAATATCAAAAAGGAAATTTTTGTGCAGTGAACTGAAAAGGGTAGACAGCTTACTTCATAGATAAATATTTGGAATAAGGTAATTGCTGTCAAGAGAACAGCATGTATTGAAAACGCAACATCGTTTGCTGCTACAGGTATCATCTGCAACATAAGTGGAAAATAACAAAATTAATGCAAATAACGAGGATTTCTCTAGATAAATATAATATATCCATAAAGGTATTGAATCAATGAAGCCTTTAACTTGTTCATGGTCAATTCTGGAAGACACTAAAGAAAAAGTAGCTTAACTCAACGTTATTCACAATGCAAGCCAAGGAAATTGCTTGAAGTAGAAGAAAAAACGGCACAAATGAAGCACTACTAGTGAAAAGCCTAAAGCACTTACATCTTGCTTTTCCTCCCTCAACTCCCCACCCAACCCTCCAGCACAAATCCAAAATCCCATAAGTTCTCAGCAGGATTCAATTATATCTTCAACTGTAGCATATGGCCGTAAGTTCTCAGGAACAGAAGTTCATAGTTTCAAGTTACCTTCAATTTTGATAACTTCCGGATCATATTAGTTGATAATCACCAAAATTACGACTCTGAGGATCTAAAAGTATATGCTACGAAGTAAATAGCAGCTTAAATCAAGAAAACTAAGTCCAATCCCACCAAATCGACACAGTTGATCTCGTGTAAAAGAAAAAAGAAGAAGGAAAAGGAAGAGAAACACAAACCTGATCGTAGCCGTATTTCTCAAAGTACTGCTTCTGTATAGTGGGACTGAAGTAGAGGCAAACGTTGTATATCATATACGATGAATGCTTCGTCAAATTCAACAACACGAAATCGAAATTTAACCCCACAACACTGCGCGATTCAATCAACAAACAAAACTAATGAGAACATCCCCCGATGAATCAGGATTCCAGAGAAAACTCAAGAAATGAACCTACAAAGCAATCAAAAAGCTTGAAAAATAGAAAATTACCATTTCCTTCGAAAATTCAAGACGACCTGCGGGTAGAAACTGAAAGACCACGAAAAAAACGCGAGCCAACCGAGAACTTCGTACGTGACTTCCAGCGGAATCGAATTCCACGAAGCCATTTCAGCCGCTCCGCCCTGTACGTCGGGGTAATTGAATTATCTCCCACAGGATTGGAACTCGGAGAGGGTCAATTTCCTGAAAATCACAAAGACCATTTTAATTTTCTTTTAAAAAGAACATCTCGGAAATGTGATTGAATCTCAGCAGTTGGTTTTGTGGGGCCCACATATTGGCGGGAATCACATGCTGACGTAGAGACAAGACTCGGGTGGCCTGTATCTAGCTCGATTTCGGGTTTAGGTTCATGAAATATTAAAATGTGAGCCACGTTTTTCGCCTTTTTACTAAATGGGCCTTAGTTTTATTCGAAAGTCCAATTGAGCCCAAAAGTTTGCTCTATTTGCAGTTTTTTTTTTTAAAAAAAAAAAAAAATCATATATTCGGTAAAACTAAAATTCAATTTAGTTATTACGATCGTATCAACACACTAGTGAATTAACTCTTTAGTCTCACTGAATCAAATATTATACGTTTATCATCACCAGCTCACAATACACCACAAAATGACGAGTTTTTAACGCCATGTATTAGGCTCCGAATATCTCAATGCCAACCAACTTAAGTAAAATACGTGTTTAGTTTAAGGAGAACGTGTATTTTAAATAGTGTGAAATTAGTCAACCATTTTGTTTTAGTTGCCTTAAAAGGACTGCAAGTTTAACAAACGGGTGGGGGTCAAAAATTATTGTTCAAAAATTTTTACCGAAAAATTAGTTGACTTCTGACTGAAACCTATCACGTTTAATTTAATCTAATTTAATTGCCACAACTCCCTATCGGTACTTTCGTAGACTAAGTCTCTGATCTCATTGAATCAAATACTTTAATTTTGTCATCATCAGTATATAATACACTACAAAATTACGAGTTTTTAATTACTAATAAAATCTAAACTTATTAACTTAATCCAATTTAGTCACTCTAATCATACAAATACACTAGTGAACTAAATTTTTAATCTCATTAAATCAAATATTATAAATTTATCATCGTCAATCCACAAAACATTACAAAATGAAAAATTTTATAATTACTAGTAAGATCAAAACTTATTAACTTAACTCAATTTAGTCACTGTAGTCTTACCAACATACTAATAAAATAAATTTCTGATCTTACTGAATCGAATACTATATATCTATTATCATTAACTTATAATACATTATAAAAATAATACATTTTTAATTATTAGTAAAATCTAAACTCGTTAATTTAACTCAATTTGTTATCGTAGCTTTACCAATACACTAGTAAATTAAATTTCTAATCTTATTAAATCAAATATTATTAATTTAATCATCATCAATCTATAATACACCGCTCTTCCATTATTTATTTCCCGCCTGACCAGATCAATTCCTTTCGTTTACAAAGATTTGCCCCATTTTGGAAATTGGAAGAAGATTAAAAAAAAATGGATCATGAAAGTAGAAGAAATATTAGCTCAAAACAAGATCTCAATTGATTATATTATTAAACTTTTTCTCTTCACAATAAACAATGTCTAATCATCCTGCAATTTCATTCCCCTCCTTGTAATCAAATAGATAAACTTTGCTTACATCAAAGAGCATTAACCAGAAAAAGAAGCAGAAATGTTATGGTGAGATTGGGGCAAATACAAAATGAAGCAAACACCCATATGATTCTTCAATCCTAATCACTCAAAACTCGTAACTATCAAGCTGTTGGATACTGTCTGAGCAAATCAAATAATTTCATAATATAATAGAAGGAAATGAAAGAGGCTTTGAAACTGATTAGATTTTGAAGAATCACAATCCCACGCCCCACAGATTGGTTGCTTCCAGCACTCCAGAAGAAATCACTGTATTTGTATTCAATCATTACTTCTAAACAATACTATCTGGAAAAGAAATATTACTACTAAGTGTTTTCCCTGTATTTTTATATTGAAATTTTATGCTTTTCATTCTATAAAACATTACAAGCCTGACTCAAAATCCTACTCGCTTTCAGTATTTTGCTGATCGATGAGTGGTTCCGTATTCTCCTTGTTGACTCTTGGAGATACATACGTTTTCTTGTCAGGATACACACATAATGTTGACACATGAAGAGACTGTCAAAGAATATGGACACCTGCAAAATGTAATGCATCATGGGACAAAGATAATATACTGTAGTCATGTTGTTCATAGGTTCAAGGGCCTGGATTAATAAGAAATGGATTATGAAAATACTAAAACCCGGGGATGACTGATGCTTATTTCACTCTTATAATGCACGCTCTCTTGAAACCAGTAATGATGTCTATTTTCAATGAAAGATAATTGATATGAAATGAAAAAAAAAAAAGGTTTTTGTATCCTGACAAAATTCATTTTATTTTTACGCCAAATGGTGTCTAATCATCCTGCACTTACATTCCACTCCTACTAATCAAACAGATCGACTTAGCTTATGTCAATGAGCACTAACCAGCAAAAGAAGAATTGCTACGGTAAGATTAAGAGCACATATATAGAAAATGATACCCACTAGAATTCTTCAATCCTAACTAGTAATCACCAATAAACCAAAACTACCAAACTGTTGGATACTGCCTGATCAAATCAAATAATTATTATATAATACATCAAAGAAATGAAACAGAGGCTTTGAAATCACCTCAATTCAAAAGAATCATAGTTCCACTTTCTCTAGATTGAATGCTTCCGGTACTCCAGAAGAATTCAGTGTTCTTATTCAATCTTTACTTGTATGCAATATACAAATTTGAGAATGAAACAGTACTACTTATGTTTCCTATATTTATATATTGATGTTTTATATTGTTCTTTATCTAAAACATTAAAATTCTAACTATATTCTGCACGATTAGGAGAGGTATTTGTTTTCTTGCCAGGATAAAATGCAATTTTGACTTTTGAAAATAATGTCAAAGAATATGCATATCTGCAAGATGTATTAGCATGATACATCAAAGCTAATATACTGCAGTATGTTGTTCAATCAAGGGCCTAGATTAATAAGAAATGGATGTTAAACCCAGGAGTTACTTAGAGATGAATATGCTAATTTCTCCCATGGTTGTAACAGGTTTTGGTAATCAAAGCATCGAATAAATTATCTACAAATTTCAGAGTGCAATTTTTCTCATTCAGGTGGCAGGGGCAAGGCCTTTGGTTACATCATTAATAAGGAGTACGGTCCATTCTAAACAGTCTGGCCTGGGCCTGGTATCTGTTCAACCCAACGTTTATCTCCTGTAGATTAAGTAGCCTTGGGACTCCACCAGAATCTGGCTCATCAGCACGTCTAAATTAAGCCCTGAACTCATCAGGTTCAAACATAATCCAGAGTAGATGAACTTCAGAGGCATCTGTCACTTTTCTTTCATTTTCTTTAGTTGAAGTTGAATATTATGCATTTCAGGATGGTGAAGTTTTTTCCCCCAATGCAAATGTGATTTAAGGAAATTCTAGATTTAAACAGAATCTTAGAAGAGACTCAATTTTTATGTACGGAAAAGAAAGAATAAGTAATTCACCAAACAATCATGGTACTAGTTTGATTTTTATTTTTTCTTAAGAATATGATCCCAAGTTGAACCAGTGAGCAGTTAGTGAAAATGAATAACTTAGACAAGTAGGTAAGTTAGGACTGCATACCAAAGAAAGCAATATCTTCCCAATGTTCCCATAGAAGTTCACCCAAGAATCTGGAAAGGCAACAATAGAATTAACATCAACTTGATGCTATAAATTTGAAATGGCAAAAACTTTTTGGCTTAGGAAGAGATAACGTACTTTGATCAATGGACTGGACTGTCATCTGAGCATAATTTGCCAGACCCCCGATAAAATCAAGCAAAACATAACCAATGCTGAATCCATCTGTACTCTTTTGTGTGAAGTTCATTATTGCCTGTATTTTGTACCTTTTGTTTGTTAGAAACCATATGGAAATCAAGAAACAAGTAAGATCAATGATATTAATGTATATTCACCAAGCTCAAAACCCAATGTCAGATTTCCAGAACAAAAGAAAATTAATCTCATAAAACTCAATATAGAAGTGGAAAAAAAGATTTTGATATAAGTAATGAAGACACAATGAACATGTAGTTCAAGGTATTTAGTGCATTTGCCATGCGTCTTCAAGTCCTTCTGGCCGTTTAAATAGGCCTATTCACATAACTACTCAATTATTAAAAAGAATCAACAATATAAAAGCATGCTTTACTGTAAATTTTGTATTAAGTAATCCAAAAATCCCATACTCAGCAGCTTATAATACAAGGAGAAACAATGTTAACCTGGGGGATATACTTTATGATAGTCATGAAAACCTGAATTGAGCTGCAGCAATATTTAAACAATAAACAATTAGAAATGAGCGTCCAATATAAAAGGAAGTGAAAGATCATGTTATACACGAAGCTAATGAAGTAGTTAAAGAAAGTTTTCACTCTGAGCATCTAGAAGCTAAAACTAGCATTCTTCAGCTCTATGTTATGTGCGATCAAAGAGAACCATTCTCAACAGAAAAATACTTACAACTCCAATGCTTCAACATTTCTGCATTACAAATTCTTTCCCATTCTTATCTTTCTATGCAAATAACCAGCAATTATTCTGTGCACGGTACTGCTGTTATTCACAGACTACAAAGAAGAAAAACTTACTTGAAAATTAAGATGAGCCACAGCCAAGAATGGCTAGGCAAAGCCACAAAGAAACAAACTGCGGCAGTCAACCACACAACAGAAATAATCGCAAAAGAAATCTTGGATATCTTCTGACTTCCACGCTGCAAATTGTCATAAATATTAGTCAAATTACATGTACAGCATATTTAAACAATATTAAAAAGGAAATTATTATACAGTGAACTGAAAAGTCTAGACTGCTTACGTCATAGATAACAATTTGGAACAAGGTAATTGATGCAAAGAGAACAGCATGTATTGAAAACGCAACATCATTTGCTGCTACAGGTATCATCTGCAACATAAGCAGAAACTAACAAAATTAATGCAAATAACTAGAATTTCTGTAGATAAATATAATATATCCACTAAGTTATTGAATCAATGAAGCCTTTAACTAGTTCATGGTCATTTCTGAACAACACTGAAGAAAAAATAGTTGAACTCTTTTTATCTCCAAAAACAATAGTTCAACTCAACATTATTCACAATGCAAGCCAAGGAAATTGCTTGAAGTAGAAAAATCAGCACAAACGAAACACTACTGATGAAAAGCCTAAAGTACTTACATCTTGCTTTTCCTCCTTCAACTCCCCACCCAACCATCCAACACAAATCCAAAGTCCCACAAGTTCTCAGTGGGATTCAATTATATCTTTCAACTGTAACATATAGCCGTAAGTTCTCAGCAACTGAAGTTCATGGTTTCAAGTTATCTTCAATTTTGACAACTTCTGGATCATCTAAATTCATAATGACCAAATTACGACTCTGAGGATCTAAAAGTCTATGCTACTAAGTAACTAGCAGCTGAAATCAAGAAAACTAAGTCTGATCCCACCAAATCAACGCAATTGATCTCAAGAGAAAGGAAAAAGAAGAAGGAAAAGGAAAAGGAAAAGAAACACAAACCTCATCATAGCCATATTTCTCAAAGTACTGCTTCTGTATAGTGGGACTGAAGTAGAGGCAAACGTTGTATATCATATACGACGAATGCTTCGTCAAATTCAAGAACACAAAATCGAAATTTAACCCCACAACACTGCGAGTCAATCAGCAAACAAAACTAATAAGAGCATCCCTGATGAATCAGGATTCAGAAGAAACTCAAGAAATGAACTGCGAAGGAATCAAAAGCTTGAAAAAGAAAATTACGATTTCCTCCGAAAATTCAAGACGACCTGCGGGTAGAAACTGAAGGACCACGAAAAAAACGCGAGCCAACCGAGAACTTCATACGCGATTTCAAACGGAATCGAATTCCACGAAGCCATTTCTGCCGCTTCGCTCTGTATGTTCGGAGATTTGGATTGTCTCCCACGGAATTGGAGTTTGGAGAGGTGATATTTCTGAAAATCACAGAAACCATTTTTATTTTCTTTAGAAAAAAAAAAAAAAAAAAAATATCTTGGAGATGTAATTGGGTCCATCAGTTGTCTTGTGGGACCCACGTACGGCGGGAATAAGTGCTGACGTGGCTACAACACTTGCGTGGCCTCTATCTAGCTTCATTAGGGGATAGGTTCACGAGATCTTATAATGTGGGCCACGTTTTGGCCTTTTTACCAAGTGGGCCCAGTTTTCTTTAAATAGTCACCATGACACGTGCCTTTTTCCATAAACACAATACGTTTAGCGAGACTTAATTTGATCACCGTAATAAGATATTGATTTATTAATTTAACTCAATTTAGTTATTAGTGTTTTATTAGTGAACTAAATTTACGATCTTATTAAATCAAATATTATATATTTATCATCGGCAAACGTTGTATATCATATTCGATGAATGCTTCATCAAACTCAAGAACACGAAGTCAGAAATTTAACCCCACAACAATACGAATCAATCAGCAAACAAAACTAATAAGAGCATTCCTGATGAATCAGGATTAAGAAGAAACTCAAAAAATGAACTGCGAAGGAATCAAAAGCTTGAAAAAAAAAATTACGATTTCCTTTGAAAATTCAAGACGACGTGCGGGTAAAAATTGAAGGACCGCAAAAAAATTTTATTAATTTAATATAATTTAATCACTATAATTCTATTAAAAGTACTAATAAACTAAGTGTATTACCTCATTAAATTAAATATTATAGTTTTATTATTATAAGCTCATAATACAACATGACGAATTTTTTATTATTAGTAAAATAAAATGTAGTTACCACAATTTTTTTTTTAGCAATTCGGTCCGGTCTTTTACTCGTCCGGTCCGATTTTATAACGAAGAACACTCTGCTCGTACTCCAGTATTCATCCCTGGAAGTTGAAACCCTAACAGGCTTGCGGTTAATTTACCATTTCCATTTCCAAAATTGACCAAGAAAACATCAGAGTAGACTCAATGGCCAATTTTCTTATAGGCAGAACCTTGAGATCGATCAGAACCCCGAGCTTCATCTACCGCAATCGCCACTTCAGCTCTATCGCCAACGTCCGGCAGAACGAACGCGAAGGTTCTGCGTCGTCGTTCACGTTCAACAGGGAAAAGGATGATAGCATATACGTGAAGGCACCGAATGATCCGAGTCAGAAAGGCGAGAGGGCGTCTTCGGTAACTATGCCGACGTCGTTCATGACGGGGTCAATTGTGGGGAAAAGATTCTATCAGAAAGGGACCACAAGGGAGGCTGACGATGGCAATGGATGGACGGTGATGCTTGATTATAGGACTCTCAAAACTCCTTCTAAAAGGCCTCTTAAGTTGCCAACTTTGGCCCTCGCCAAGGCGATTGCTGCTGAATGGGAATACCAGGTTTTGTCTCTGCTCTGTTTAAACTCTTTTCATTGCTGCTGTTTGATAACCTTTTTTTGTGCTGTTGGTGTTAATCATAGCTTAATCTTGCTAGTTGTTTGCTGGAATTTTTGTTTTTGAGAAGGAACTGTCTATTGGAAATTTTCCTTTTTGTTTCCTGCGTAACTTCCCTTTCTGTTTGTTTGTTTGTTTTTTTTTTTTTTTTTTTTTTTTTTTGAGATGGGTTCTTCTTTGGTAGTTGAATCAACTTAGTTCAAGTTTTAATTTATGCATATATATATTTTCCATTATTAGTAGAATTATTGAGCCAGGCTTGCTGAGCGGGTATATTTCAATTTTTTCCTTACATTTATAGTTAATTCTTATACTTCATATTTTTTAGTGTTCGTTTTATGTATAGAATCACGTTATAGTTTTCATTTTTGAATCATTTTACTGCCAGCTGTGGAGTTTTTATGGATTAGAAAAGTAAGAATTAGAAGTTCCCTTCTAAGAAATTTAAGAGATAGATGGTGATGATTAGAAATTAAAATCATGTTGTGTAATACTAGTATGAAGATTTAAGTGAAGAAATTATAGATTTAGAATTGAGTCAAACAGGACTTATATGTAAATTCTGTACATGATCGAGAGATAGATGGATAAGAATTGAACGGAATCAGAATGGCCATAATGTTTTTCAGGTATTATTGGAATTATTCTAGCTGGAAGGGATCTTCTGTTCGTGGTACTTAAATTTAATTGGGGTTTTACATTCTAATTTTTAAGTTATGTAAATTGAAATGGGTGTGCTTTTTATATCTGTTTTCCTTTTTTCCCCCCTTATTGAAGTCTGTCGCTTGTGTATGTGTGTTTGAACCCTTATCTCTCTGTTCTTTTGCTAGTATTCAGTGACTAAATAGTAATATCTTGTAGCAAACAGATGGGATCCGACCCTTTACGATGCCTCTCATGAAACTTGCCTGCACAGCACTGGAGAGAGTTCCAGTTACTCGTCCAAAGATTATTGAACATTTAATGAAGAAATTCAATCAAGATTTAGTATTTTGCCGAGCTCCTGATGACAATGATCTCACAAGCTGTGTCCATGGTAATATATATATTTTTTAGTATGAAAAATGTTGTATGTTTATTCATGCATCTGATTCTGCTACTGCAATAATTTGCATTTTTCCATCTGCTTTTGTTCCAAGCTTTAGTTTCTAGTTTTATGCATTAACTTGCTATTCATTTTCTTTGAAAGGATTTTGCATGTAAGTGAAGTAAACAAACCCAGTAGGAAATGTAATTAGTTTTTGAAGAAAAATGAACCTGCAAATGGCGGATGGAGAGACTCTTCAGATGCAGAATTTGAGGCCATTAGATGTTCTTACTTTGACTGAGATGAAGAATTTCACTCTGTTATCCGTCAATCTAACTTGTCATTTTTTGAGCCTTATCAGATCTGGTTCTCTCTCTGGTCATGGGTTTTCTTGAGTTGGATGATCATATGCTAACTTTGGTTTCCAATGTTTGTAGAAAGGCAGGTGGAAAAAATTGATCCTTTGCTTGATTGGATAGAATCAGAATTTGGTTTTAAGCCTATTTTGTACTCCAGCATTTTTGGAGGGAAGCAGGACGATGGTCTTGTGAAAGCCATAGAAAATGTTTTAAAAAGGACAGATGATTGTGAATTGGCGGCTATTGATGCAATGGCAGCTGCAGCACACTCTTTAGTCATTGCTATTGGCATTTTTCGTGGGAAATTGCAGATTGAGGAAGCAATTGAGTTGATTAGACTTGAAGAAGATTTACAGGTTCTTGTTGCATTCTCTCTCTCTCTCTCCCCCTCCCACGAAACACGTGCAAATGCACACTTGCACATGGAAGACATGTACTATATGGTAACTGGGAAAATCAAAGACAAAATGTGAATTGCCAGATAATGTGACATAGGCACCAAGATATAAAAGCAAGAATTCCAAAAGAGAATCAGCCAAAATAACTTGCTTCTTTTCATTTCTAATCTTTTTTCTTTTAAACTCATAATGTAATCTTATCATATTATCTGCAGGTAGATAAATGGGGTTTGGTTGAAGGTGGGCATGACCTAGATATAGCAGATCTCAAAGTACAAATTTCATCAGCTACTGTCTTCCTTGGTCTTTCCCGAAGGATTTGATCTTCATCTATGACTGCACAGGTCGTCATTTCATGAGTTGGTTTTGATCTACTTGATCTATTGTAAATTAGATTTCTTTTAACATTAATGCTCAAAATTTTGGAGAATTTTATTGCCCTTCATAAATGAGGTTAGTGAAAAATTGGATGGTAGATTTTTACCCTCTTGAATAATCAAGAAGTTTTTATAATATGTCTTACTCATAGGTGTTGTCAATTATTAAACCTTTTTATTATACAAAGCCGGAAGACGTAAACTAGAAGCAAGTTCATCTGAAGAAAATCTCTTCTCCTGTATTTGTGCCAACGGCTATTGGTGACCTTTATCAAGGTTCTTCCTGGCAGCATTGCACACATAACGGTGGCTGTTTCTCAATATCACAGTCACAACATGCTGTCTCACACTCGTTGTTACACCCTGTAAAAGAATATTGCAGACAAAAAAAAAAAGGACAAACAAACAAATACCATTATCCCGTCAGTCTTGTCTTCGAGATTATAGATAGACAGGAATATGAGAAGGCTGCATTGTTCACCTGTTATCGTAACATACTGAGGCGGCTCAAGGTCTCGGGATCTTGGAAGGAATGATAGCCTAGTGCTTGCTTGAACAACAGTGATGCCAATGTAGACAAAGATTATGAAGACAAAAACAGAAGCTACTGTCAAAAACCTCATCAATCTACGGTCAGTGAGCAATTATCTACTTGGTGTAAGACTAGATACTTGGTAGGTGAAAATTTTTCTGATTGGCATATAGGTGATAGACCTAAGCCATTCAATAATATGATTCCCTTATATATATCTTCATCCTTTTAGTGTTGTGAATAAGATGGAATAATATTATATAAACTTGGATCGGTATGATGTATTACCATGGTTGTATATACAAGGTTAGATGTTTAGTAGGTGAAGTCTACCTTAAATGACAGGGTTGTTTATATATGTGGGAGGTTTGCTATTCATGATTCAAGTTTTAAGAGATGAGAGACCTAATTTATTAAGATATGACTTTGGAAGTAATCTATACTCAAGTTTGCTATTCATGATTCAAGTTTAAGAGATGAGAGACCTAATCCATTAAGATATGGCTGAAACTAAATCTATAATTTATTTACATACTTATATCAAGTTTTTGTTCTATTCATTGCAAATTACAGTTTTACTCCAGGTAATTTGTCTTAGTAAAATCCAGACAATATCGACTTTCTTTTTCCGAAATGCTTTTGAGATTCGGAATTTCTGTTTCCACAAGTCTATCTAGTGCATTATACACAATTGGGAGCTCAATGTGACACAAGGTTGGTTCAAGAGAAACTATTTATAACTATATCATAATGATGATAAAACGCAACATATTTACTTGCATCTACTCAAAATAGGAAAACCATAACCCATAAATATACCCAAGAAATTTTTGTTTGAGAAAATAGAAACACATGCTTCTGCACCAAAATTACAGAAGTATGGAGAAATGCAATTGGCATGCACATTATTACACGACTAACGAGTTCTTAGAAACTACTCCAGAACTTCCAGATAAATGAAACTTAGGCACTGCCTGTCAGCTGGAGCTGCTTGATATGTGTTATCTGTTTTCCGGGGTTCAAACCCTTTGGACATGCACGAGCACAGTTCAATATGGTATGACATCTGTAGAGCTTAAACTCGTGGTTTATTGCCTCTAGTCGCTCCTTGGTATACTCATCACGGCTATCACTTATCCACCTGCATACAACATATCATTCGAGTCACAAAACCTTTTAGCTAAAGAGATGATCTAGCTTATAACATAAACTACAGACCCAAGAACTTCTACAGTGACGTTCAAAGAGCACAGAGATTGCGGAGTTGCTAGTATCAGTAAAAAGCATATCTAAGAAAAGATGCTAATCCAGCTGCTTTTACAATGACTAACCAAACTTTCGAACTAGCTTCCACGCGTCTTTTCACAATGTGTGTCTGAATCCAACCAGATACAGAAACATGAATGCTGCTGAACCCCCTCAACCAAGATAGTTCTTCTTAACAAAAGAAAAAAAAAACCTAAGATACACGGAGGAAAGCTGGTGCTTTGTTCGATGCACATCTAGGAAGGCTGAAACAATTATGTTTTCATGTTGATGTACTTGACAAGGATTTTGCAAGTATACATACATTCAATTTCTTCCATCATGGAAACTGCATTAGCACTAAAAATAAACAGAGCAATATTAAATATCTCAAATTATTACACTATATGCATCCATCTATATGACATGCATGGATATTTATGGGTGACTGAAGCACGGATTAACAACAGCACGGTAAAGGAGCCGCCTTCCATGGTGCCTCACAAGTCAATTCCTATCTTCATACATTTTTAACTCTTTTCACATTTGGCTTACTCTTCCCCATAATTATGTAAACCAATGTCAGTAATTCATAATCCTGGTATCTTTCAGAAGTATTACCAATTTCTTACGCAATGGATAAACAATTAAAATACCAAAACCCCTATTCATGGATAAACAATTAAAATACCAAAACTCCTTTTGATTCCTTGACAAGAATCAAATGTTACTGAGGCAAAAAAGAATGCTTTAAGCATGAATCAGTCTGAACCTTAAACACCACACCTGGAATCTAAAATCACTAACTTTGTCCTAAAAGCCACCTAGAAAGCAGAAACTTAGATGAAAAAGCACTAAATAAGACACTCATAACTTAGGAGGAGGTCTACTCTACTCAACAATCCTCTTCACCAGATAAGTGAATCATTAACTATTGGCTTTATCTACAAACCAAGAAATCAAGGATTTTTTTCGCCGACTAATCCATAAACAATGAAATGCATGATTATTGGCCTGCCATCGTTACCATGAAAAACGAAAACACCGAAACATCCAAATGGTTGCAACAAGAAAAAAAAAAACCTAGTTGTTTCATCATCATTCCTCATCGATTAATCCAATACAAAAGGAAAACAGGAAAGGAAATGGAAAAAATGAATTACGTATTGGCATGGAGCAAGGCGGCAGGGCCCAGGTAAGATTCAGGATTCCACCAGTAACTAGGGCACGATGTGCTACAGCAAGCACAAAGAATACACTCGTACATCCCATCAAGCTTAGCTCTATCTTTCTTGCTCTGCAGAATCTCCTTCCCCGGAACCGGAGGCGAGCTCTTCCTCTTCAGCCAGGGTTCAATACTCTTGTACTGATTATAGAAATTCGTCATGTCAACAACGAGATCCTTGATGACGAACATGTGCGGCAAGGGGGTAATAGTCGAGGAAGCACCCGAGGGGATCTTCGTGAGGCATGCAAGGCCATTACAGCCGTCAATATTCATAGCACAGGACCCGCAGATTCCCTCGCGGCAAGACCGACGGAAGGTTAGGGTAGGATCGATCTCATTTTTAATCTTGATCAAAGCATCGAGCACCATCGGCCCACACTCCTTCAGGTCGATCTGGTAGTCCTGCAGCTCCGGCTTACCCGGATTATCAGGGCTCCACCGATAGATTTGGAAGGTCTTCATGTTCGTTCCGCTACTCGCCTTCGGCTCCTTCAACTGCGCCTCCGCCTCCGACGCGTGCCATCGCGCCGGAATCAACCTCGGCATCGCCGTAATCGCCGCCGACTTCTTCATGATCGCTCTTCCAATCAAACCAGTGGCCATTTTGAAGCTCAATAGAAAGAAATGAGTAGACTAAAGATCAATTGATAGAAATGAGGAGAGAAAGCTTGATGAAGGAGGAGGGGAGAAGAAGAATAGCTAAGGGTGGCTGGGTGTGGGATGAGCGAAATGACGGAGAAGGACTTCGACGCATTTATAGTGGGAAGGTTTTGGGAGGGGATAGAGTAGAGGCTGAATTTAGTCCACGTTGTGGATGTTTGGTTCGATGCCGTAGGTTGATTAGACTCTTAGAGCATTAGGTGACGTGGCGAATTTTCAACCGTTGATGGAGGATGAATACGTTGGTTTGTGATGGTGGTGCATTCACGGGATACTTCTCTGTTTTATTGAAGCGCGTGGTGACCATGCGGAGTTTTATTTACAAAGCCTCTTATTCTTCCTGGGCCCTTTATAATAAACTGAAATTAAGGGTAAATTAATTATAATTAAGTGTTCCTAATACACACACATATATAGAGCTAAATACTAAATTAATTTATCCTAATTACTTTTTAGTTTTTTTCTTATATATAAACACCTATAGTAAAACCATAAAATTGTAAAGGGAAAAAAATTAAAATTAAAATTAAAATCAAAATAAAGTTAAAAAGAAAAAATTAAAACAGTTGAAGTAGAAGATTAGGTGTAATTTTAAGTTAATTAAAACAATAATCAACTATTAATACCCCCTAAGCTCATGCCTTAATGCTCGCTCTATCTCCATCTTTATATTTTCTCTTCATTTTCTTCTTCTTCTTCTTCTTCTTCTTCTTTTCTCTGTAATTCTCTCTTCTATTTTTATCTTTCTGCTGTTCTTCTGAATCTCTCGTTTTCTTTCTTACTCAAATTTAAGCTCCTGCTACGAAGCATCCATGGCGTCGGTAAGAGATACAGAAATCTCTACCCCTTTAATTTATATTACTTTTCTTTGTGAGAATGTTATTTATACATGTTAAGAAAAATAAAGTATTAGTTTCTTTTTGTGGGTATTTTGAGTTTGAAGAAATGAGAATTATAAATTAATAATAATGACTAGTTAAAAAAAAATTAATGTTGAATTTATCTGGGAAATTTATATTTTAGTGCTTGTGTAAAACTGGAAAATTGAATTTTCATGTTTCTTGGTATTATGATACATTCATGTTCATGGTTTTTAGGTTACATATGGTTTAAGTTTATCTCTTACTTATCTCAAAAAGCCAATAACTTCGTGTAAAATAATAGAAAATCACGGGGGTTAAATGGGTTGTTTTTCTTTTTTACCATGCAGTTGTTTCCATGGAAATTTTTCTGAAACCCTAATTTGAAGGTTAACTAAGAAGGAAAAATTTTGTGTTCTAACAGCAGGACAAGAACAGGGCATTGCCAAAATTTGGTGAATGGGATGTGAATGATCCAGCCTCAGCTGAAGGATTCACTGTTATATTTGCCAAAGCAAGAGACGAGAAGAAGACGAATGCCAATTCTACGGGAAATCCTTCTGCATCACGAAAGAGAGATAATCAAGTTGATAATAGTCAAGATGCTTCATCGGTATGACATTTCATTTTATAAAAAAACAAAAAAAAAACGAAATGATTAAGTTCAACACGAAGTCTTAGTTTCCTATTTATCTCGTGAAGGGTGATGACAATTCATTGTTTTCGGTTGCAGAAGAAGTGGTTTTGCTGTTTCTAAAGATCAGAGGAGCTGTTGTAGCTATAGATGAGCTGAAAGATTGAGAAAAGTCGATCACGATGATACGAGAACTCAGGTCTGCAAATTTCAGATTGACATGGGAGGATTCGGACCCGGATTGTTGTTTCATGATTTCTTGCTAACCCTTGTCATCTTCATTAATTCTGTTCTAAGTTATATGCATACAACTTAGGAGACAAGGAAAAGATATAAACACACGAAAAAAGAAAAAATTTACTCTTCAAATCATTTTGTTTAAGAACTGGTTTTTATCACTGGTCATTATTTATTCTAGGATGCTAAAGATATATATATGCATATATAGAATTTTTTGCTGATTTCTTGTAGATTTCTGAACTGTAACTAAAGGATTTGAAGAACTATTTCAGACTAAAATTGTTTTGTTCCTTACGAAAACATACATATATACGAACCTAAAATTACCCAGAAGAAAATGGGAAAACCATGTCCTACCTATAGTAGGTTGCTCTACCTCTCTTCATATGCATTCGTTGCCTTAAGCATTTGCATACTAGAAAAACTTGAAAGCCGCTAACTTATATATATACCTCCCTGTTATCGGGAAAGAATGGAACAAAGCTTGCACTTTACCAATCTGCATCATACGATGTCCACGTCTCTCGTGACAACTGGTTGTGACTCTGAATCGTCAAAACCATTACTGCTTGTTTTTCTTTTGAATGATTTGAGGCTGAACATCCGCGGTAGGGCACTCCATGATCTTTGAATTGCTCGTGACCCATTGCTCGATATGCTTCCATCATTCTTCTTGCTAAGATTATCCGATAAAGTCTTGACTAGATTTTCAAACTGACGCCAATAAGTTGGAGACCTTGAGATGGATTTGGTGAGCCCTTGAAGCCTTCATCATCGAAGCAAAGCTTATAGGGTCAATAAGAGGTCATAACAAGACAAAAGGGATATTTTAAAAAGAACAGATTAACCGAATCATTACCTTCGAGCTAATCCATCGAGTTCAGCCCGCCTAAGTTCAGAATCTGTCGGTGAATTAATGTTTAAAATTTTCAACCTTGTGGCATCACCGCATAATAAGACTAATTTACCAAGATAATCTTCTTCTGCCTCGGAAAGGTTTGCCACTTTCATCTGGTCCTTCATGATCATGAATGGATTGAAAAACCAATCAAAGAAGGCATCCTTCGGTCTGTTTGCTGAAGTTATCTCAGTACCATCACCTACATTAACAAATAAACAGAATCACTTTTTCACATGCCATCAGGAATGCTAATAACGCTATAGAACCTATTTTACAAGGAAAAGTATCCACTCACTCAACAATAAGCCCGGAGAACCGGATATTGCAGAACACAGAAGTGACTGAAGAATGCAATAAGCTGGTAAGCCAATGCTAATGACTTTGCCACCATTCTGAGCCTTTGCATCTGCAATGTCTTTCTGGGTTATTAGGCCTTCAGAAACCATGATTTCTCCTTGTCGTTGACATTCCTTAAATAAGGCCTCGAGGAGCTACACTAGTCATTCCAATTCCCATTCAGAAACTCTTTTATTACGCTGTGTTTAGTTCAAATCTATTATATGCTCATTTTATTTCTAGTTCTTAACTCTTCCTATGAAAAATTTAATCATAATTTACCTATTTGATGCATAATTCAATAACTTTTCTCATATTTTCAATTCTGTAGTGATATATCTATATCTCACTTGTAATATAGCAACCAACAACATCTAACTTGAATTTGACTTAGAATCAAATCGTTATCTCATTTTGAAGAAAAAAAATCAATCATAGAACAAAAACAAGGTACTCTGGCTAACAGTTGATAAGTTGACAAGAACATTGAAGGAAGCCTAGAGATAAGCAATATCTTATAATGAAAAGGTAGAATACCTCCAGCGGATTCAAATCAACCCTTTGAGTATTAAATGACTCAACCCGTGAAGGAGGTTTTGAAAAAGAAGAAGCACGAGAGTCTCCCCATGGATTTGTCTTCTTTTGGTACTTTGGCCTGTCAATATCAGGAGAAATCACAAAAGTTTGTCAAAATGCAGATATGCAAATCACAAGCTTAAACTATCTGAGGGATGATGACAACCTAGGAAAGCAGGATCCTTCCCGCATGTCGAGTACATCATTGCTGTATTCATCGTAAATGGCCAGAGAAGCAACAATATAGCAAAGACCAAACCAAAAAGAAGATTCCTGTAACCATAAATGATTTGATTAAATGATAGACTATAAGACAATAGCCACCACAAAATTTGGCAAGTAATAGACTAGTAGATACTAACCTGATAGGCAATCACTCCGGCATAAGCGCCAAGGAAAACACTAGCCACTATGGATCCTAAAACCGCCCCAATAACAGCTAATGGCCACAGTAAAATAACAAGGCCAGCAAAGGGTACACATATTGTCTCCAAGAAAGGGCCTTCTCGACCTATAAGATCATGAAATAAACGGCGCCACCCTTTGAGGAGCATATAAGGACTTTTGCAGAGGGCAATCACGGAGATTACTGGCAAATCCACTATGATACCAAGAATCCCTGCTACAATAGCACCCGGAAGATGAAGCAATCTGGAAGAAAGTTAAACAAAACGCCTGTTAAAACCAAAAAAGTACATCACTGATGTGAATAGCTAGAAAGCTTAATTCCCAAAACACATATGCAAAATATGAGTTATAGAGAATCAAAACCTTCAGTCATCTGCACTACATATTTTTAGTACAAAAATTGACCTTTCTGTTACTCCAAGAGCATAGATACCAGGTCTTAAACATTTAGTTCAGGTTACTTATGTTGTGGAACACAATCAAACCTATTTTAACCGAGTTTATATGATAACTAGGCTTCACCAAAGAGGCACCGAGTATCACATAACTACTGGGATTTCGTGAAGAATTTGTGGAACTTTTAAATTCGATAAAGGAATAACAAAACCTTAAGGTCTTAAACTGCAAAGAGACTTTAAAAAGCAGGCACATGCAACAAACCTGATCTCGTAACACTTTCCATCTGGAAGGACTTGTTGCCTCAGGTCAGACATAAGAGAGAAGTAGGTAATCAAGCAAACATCTCTAAAATCCCTGACAACTGTAATGCTGCCTTTGACTGTACTCCAAGTTCCATCCTGCAAATGCGATGATAAAATTATGCAAGAGAAAAACAGCATATAAGTAATAAACAAAGAGAATTAGGATATGTTACTTACGAAAAAACAATGGAAAAACATGTTCGACTTCCCTTCTCCGACAGCATCAAAAGTGGCAAAAACAGGGGAAAGAAATCCGTATAATGCTCCAGCTAAAATGCTTCCCGCAATACCAAGAACTGGCCATAAACCCACGCAAAGGAGAAGGCAGATGCATAGAAAGAACTTCAGGAGTGGTCCTAATAATCTAGTACTGCCAGTGACAGAAATTAACAACATGAGAGAGATAAAAAAACAATAACAAGAAGGAAAAAGTCAGTGAATGGGACGAGTAAGTAACCTCAAAATGCAATAACATGTCCAGACAGCATGTACTGGCAAAAGACCCAAAATGATCCCAGAGTTTCCAATTGTCATGACGACGCATATCAATGGGCAGAATATGATACCTGAAAGTATAATTTTGCACCATGTTTGATTGCATTCAAAAAACTAAGTGATTTTTCTTCATCGGTAAAGGGATTGTAAACATATTACACAAACATGTTTCTACAGTTAGAAACTGCTATTTTGTTTCTCACGAAAAGGAAAGCACGGGCATCATCGTCAAGGGCATTAATTTCTATTGGCTAATACTGAAACTAAACATGTACCAAATCTGAAGTTATGAAAATTCCAAACCTTGATTCTCATAAAAACAGTTAATTCAACCCACATTTATTTTTTTTAAATAAAAAGTGCGAAAGTATATTGCTATAGGCACCAAAGAGGTGCTGCTCATGTACAAAAATTTACATGTCAATTAAATTGTCCACAAGGTTCGTTAATTCCTCCATTGAACAAAGAGGATGACTCCGTAACAAAAAATCAAGAGTCTAAAAACATCTATTTTTTAGAATATCAAAACCATCAGCGTCCTCAAACAAGAACATTAACCCACTAGTATCATAATAATAGTTTCTAACAGCAAGAAAATTAACCCAAAAATAAAGGAAGCAAATAAGAGTAGAGAAAAGAAGCAACGTAAACAATCTTGTGATAGTAAATTTCTTTCCTTGTCCAACCCAAAACCTATAATTAACATAACTCTATACCCAAATCAGCGAAAAGAAAAGATAAAACTCCCTCATACAAAATAGAAACAAATTACTTCTTGCAATGGTACAGGATAATTTCTCAGAGTACACAAACAAGAACCAGAAAACTGAGAGGACTTACCCTTGAGGATGCCCAGAAGTAGTAATCCAATGAAGTAAGGAAGAAAGCAGATGAAGTGCCACAGAGAAAGCAAAAACCCTTTTGGAGGCTCCATTTCTGACCTCAACCACACAGATCTAACAAATTCAACCCGAAACCCTTTTTAGAAATCAATCAAATTTCTCCCTTAAACAGCAAATATTCTACTTTTATGCACTGCAAACTACACAGAACACCCAATAAGCAAACTTGCAAAAAGAAAATAAACAACAACAACAACAACAACAACCCAGTAGACCAAAATCAATTTCCTGCAAAACCCACATTAAATAACTTACAGAAAAAGCCCTACTCCTGTGATATCACCCTTCTTTTCTGGCACCCAGATGAACTGCAGCAAAGAAACCAGAGGAAAGTTCCTTGCGTTGATTTGTAAACTTTTCTTGAAATTGAACGTTGAAATTTCTTGATTGAAAATACTGTGAATGGTGGCTTTTGTAGGACTATGAGAGAGAGAGAGAGAGAGAGAGAAATGGTCAATAGACAGTCTCTTCAAGCATTGAAGCTTTCCAGAGAGAGAATCAGAGAAAACCCATATATATAAACCCAGTTTGCCATTCCATGGATTCTAGTAAAGAAGGCAAAGAATATTTTGGTTTTGTCTATCTTAATTTTATCTAGAAATAGGAACTTACAACTCTTTAACAAAAGATTCTTTAATTAAAATTTTTGTTTCATTTTAAAAATTTTCTCTTTCATTTTATTCTTAAACTAAAAGCAAGCAAATTAGGCCAACTGACTGTTACATCCAAAATTAATATATACGCATATATAAATATATGTATGTATGTATTCCCCGAAAAGTGAAAACTACAATAACATCATTGGCTAACTAATCTTGTGATTATTATTGAAGAAAAAGATATTTAGCAGCTTAATTAAAGTTTTGTTTTTTGGATTTTACTTTTTGTTTTCTTGTCCGAAAAACACTGTTTTCTTCCTAAACAAACACAAGACCCTGACGTTTTTTGTCATAATAATTAAAAATATATACATACATACATATATATATATATATATATACCGTCACCTACTCATTTTTTTAGAAATATCTACGTATAATTCCATTTTTTTTCCTCAGATGTGTAAAAATCAAGATATTATTTCTTTTTTCTTAGCAAAATGTAATATTTTAATTCCAAATTTAGTTTATGTTGACTTGAATATTAAATTTAGTGCCTGATTTTTTTTACAACTATTATGTAATCTTTGAATTTAAATAAAAAATTATTAAAATTTATATTACTATTATTTATTAATAAGGATAAAAAAAATTAATTTAAAACTTTAACTCTTAATTTAAGATTTAGAAAAACTAGGCATGATTTAAAAATAAATTTTAAAAAAATAATAATAAATAAATTGAGATTAAATACAAAAAAAAATTATTTTATTTAATACGCGCATGCCCCAAGAGTTGTGTCTTTTTGTTGGATTTTTTTTTAAAAAAAAAAGAATTGTTTTTTCTTTTTAGGATAAGATAAGATGACTATTCAATGTGTGATAAAAAAAAATTATGATGATTATGTTGAATTTTTTAATTAATTAAGTGAATTTATATATGAAAATTATTATAGGTTAAAAAAATATATCAAATTATTAAATTCGTTTAAAAGTAATATAATACAATTAAAACTTTAAAGATGTGATTATATCTTTCAAATTATAAGTATAATTTTTATTATGATATTTTATTATAAAAATAGAG